CGATGAAAATGCTTATATTTAGTTTCAAACACACGTGTGTGGCCTATATTAATAATGAAATAAGCCCTATGTCGTATTGTTTTCTATATGGGGGGGGGGGGGTTATCACACCAAGTCATAAATTACTAACCGGGAAAATTATTCACCCAAGACCCCTGTTACGCGCCTTCTTATAAGTGGAACCCCCACTTTGAAAAACGTTCCGCCGGCCCTGGACATTATATATTTTCAGCCACAAAGTGGGGGGGGGGGTGCTGGCCACCCCGGTACCGCCGGCCATGTATACACATTACAAAAACAATATATGTAATTGCACAGACATAGTATACGGTAGTTGAACAGCAAAGCGAAACCAAAAGTTGTTATGACCAACTCCCTGATCAGTCTAGTAGAGTATCAGCCCGAGTATAATATAGTAAAATAAGATTTTCTTTTTAGCAAGTTAATAATCCAATCAATCCTGGGACGGTAGTTTTTGGCATGATTTGAGCTGTAGAGTGGAAAAACATTCTTCTTCGGTTCGGTCAATATCAAAATGAGGATATTTCTCTTGGACAGACGAGAGCTCCGATCCCTGGACAGACAGTATATTTCCAACTTCACTCTTTTTACATATTCGTCTATGCCTAGTCCTACTCCTCTTTTTCTTTTTCCGACCTTTAGCACATTCTCATCTGAGTTTTCAAGAAAAAATACAATGATCACTGTCTCTTATACACATCTAGCTGCTATTTTGCTGTTATGTAAATATTCACGCATTCTTGTCATGAGCCATGTTCTCTGGACGATAATCTTTTTCTAACCACCATTCGTAATGTCCTTATATAATCCTTTTTCATTCAAAAAGTGCCTCTTGAATTTAATAATTTCCCCTCGATGTTCATCTATTTCCATAATCTCCCCCTCAATCTCCACTCTGTTTTAATAAGCGCCCCGTTAAAATAAGAGCCCGTTTGAATAAGCGCCCCTCAGAAAGTGCAACAAATATTTTAAGCGCCCGGACGCTTATTCGCGCGAGTACGGTATCTTAATTTAAAACTCAGTAGTTGGTAGTACACAGCTACTCCCGGACGCATGCTCCCGAACGGACGCGAATTTCGCCTCCAGCGAGGGCAGGGCTGGACTGCGGACAGGATTGAGTATCTGGCCAAAACCATTTTCAATAAAAATAAATAAAACCACAGAAAGGCGGCTGCAGTGTGCGCATAGCATAGGATTTATTGGACTCTCAATTGAATCGAATGGACGAATTCATTTTTATTATGTGGTATCCACGGTTATTGATGGCTGGTTTAATTCAGCTTAAATTTTTTTTTTGTTTTGCTGCTGAGGTCAAAATTATGCTAAATTTTTCTAAAATTATGCCAGCACATATGCTAGATGCTAAATGGGTCTAAATTATGCCAAAAAGCATGATCATATACTAAGTCTGGTACCGGCTGTATTTTCCTTTCTTAGACACAAACAGAAATCCTAAATTGCACAAAGCATCATATTCATTCTAACCTCCCTCTCGAATATTTACGCTGGCGTTCATTAATCGCCCAGTCTAGACATCTCGCTAGTTACGCCATGGATTAACATACGCCCGGCGTTAAATACGCCTGGCGTATTTCTCAGGTCTGAACGTAGCCTTTCACACGGATATATGCGTAGAATTCAACTTTTTGGATGGAATGTCAGGCTTTGAAATGGACGCAAGCCAAGGACTTTAATAACTGTTCAGATAAAACGGATATGACCATAAACAAAATTAATATGCAGAAAAATAAATTAGGATTTTTAAATTGTACTGAATAAATGAATTAAATTATCTCCCCCCGATTGAGCGGCCTACATACTATTTGGCTATATATTCTCGGACATTGAAAATAAAAAAAATACACTATTAAAGAAGAAACATACGGTTTACCGTCCAGCCATAGTAAAGTTAGCGTATTATATAGTATTATTAGAGTATGAAAGACATAAGTAAAATTAATAATAAACATACCGGTATTAATCACTTTAAACCGTAGGCCCAGTTTACGCATTTTAGTCCAGCAAACTTTGGTTGGTTGCATTTTTTTTGCTATATTTTTAAAAAATTGGATATGATGTAGAGTAAACATAGATAAATCAAAACAGTTAACAACAGTTAACTAAATATTGTACACATTTTTGAGCTATTACAATTTAAAATGGCTGCCATTTTCCATTATTTTAGCTTTTTAGCATACATATTAATATAATAATAACCGACCTGTACACAAACTGTGATAGAGCTAGTTATATGCAATTGCCATATGCTATTAATGGTTATTACCATAATATATATGTGATATATATATACAT